AACTACTCTTCTCAATGGCGGTTACCGAAGGAGTGGGATTCAAGAAAGGCGAGCGCGAGAAAGGATTAAAGCTGGTATTCGTTGACACTAAACGAGCTTACTTTTACGCTCCTGCAGAGAAAGACATATTTATCAGGCTACCGGGCGAGGATTACGAGCCGGGCATGTGTGGAAAGTTACTGAAGTCAATGTATGGAACAAGAGATGCGGCAAGCAACTGGGAAGACTGTTACATGGACTTTGCCATTGAAGTTGGGTTCAAGAGTGGAGTTGCGTCGCCGTGCGTGTTTAAGCACGAGACCCGAGCCCTATGGTTAACGGTTCATGGGGATGACTTTACGCTACTAGGGGGTGACCATGATCTCGATTGGTTTGAAAATACAATAAAGGAGGAGTTTGAGGTAAAAGTGAGAGGACGACTTGGACCGGGGCAGGAGGACATGAAGGCAATCAGGATTCTTAACAGGATTGTGGAGTGGACTGAGGAAGGATTGAGATATGAGGCTGATCAAAGGCATGCGGAGATAATTGTGAAAGAGCTTGAGCTTGAGGGAGTAAAAGTGAGGACTGAGGTACCAGGTGAGCGCATTCCAGTTGAAGAGGGAGATGAGGTAGAACTTTCGCCCAACATGACTAAGCGATATCAGGCATTAACGGCTAGAGCAAATTATATATTTAGCTCAAGACAGATCGGACATACAGTATTCAGTAAAGGAACTTGCTAGGACCATGTCAAAGCCAACTATGGTTTCATGGAAAGGCCTAGTCAAGCTAGGAAAGTATTTGAAGTATCACAGCAGAAGCAGTTCTGTGTATCAGTATCAAGAACAGCCCCGAGAGTTGACGATTTGGACGGACACAGATTACGCAGGATGTAAACGAACTAGGAAGTCTACGAGTGGAGGAGTAGTGATGTGGGGTAAACACCTCATAAAATCTTGGAGCACAACTCAAAGTGTAATTGCATTATCGTCAGGGGAAGCAGAATATTACGGGCTTGTGAAAGGAGGATCAGTCGGTCTAGGACTTCAGGCCGTGTTGAGGGATTTTAATTTGGAAGTTGAGATCACCTTGAAAAGTGATGCCACGGCTGCAATTGCAATTGCGAGCAGACGAGGTTTAGGAAAAGTGAGACGCATTGAAGTATGTCAACTGTGGCTGCAGCAGAAGGTAAAGGAGGGAGTAATTCGAATTGTGAAAGTAGGCACACATGAGAACGCAGCAGATGCATTAACCAAGTATGTCAGTCGTGAGAGCATGAGCACACACCTACTAAACACAAACCAATGTACACTAACAGGTCGGCATAGCCTTGCGCCGGCCACCGAATGTTGACATCCGCAGCTCATTTCTGTCAAGCAAGCAGTCTCGATTAAGGCTTCCTCCATCCTTTACCTCTTTCCCTCGAGCGTGAACGAAAGCGTGGCGGACAACCAAGTCAAGCGATCAACGGCGCTGCGGTCGACCAGAGCCCGCCTGGGGCAGGACCGGTTACACGTGAGAACCTCAATTGCCGTGTCGACGATATCGTCAACGTGGCTCATGCGTATACCATGACCCTCACCAACATGGCCATTGACTTTCACGGGGCCTATGACAAGCACGTTGACGAGATGCAGAGGGTTGCCGATGACATGGCGCGGAGGATCGTTGACTTAACACAGCAGAACACCGCGTTGGTTCACGCCAATGACGACGTCAACGAAAATCTCAAGAGGGCGCAGGACGAGGTTAACACCCTTGTGGCAACGGTTACAGAGTTGAACATCAAGAATCGCGACTCGGAGGTTAACACGGCGGAGAATGCGACCAAGTGCAGGCGCATTAACGAAAATATCGGTTGCCTCTTGAATACCGCCAGGCGCCTTACCGAGAACATCACGCCTCTGCAGGGCTTCGAAGGTAAACGTGATGCGGCACTACGTATGCTAGTGGGAGTCACCGAGAGGCTTGAGGGTTTGCAGAGGTTCTTGGATGACCCGATCAACTCCTCGGTTACCATTATCCCGCAGGTGCCGCCGCCGTTGCCTGAGTTGCCCCCGACGGCAGCACCCGCCACGGCGCCGCCCGTTGCCGTCGCCGCGGCAGTCGGGCCCATGGCCACGGGCGCGCCCCCAGTGCAGCAGGTTAACGTGGCTCCATCAGGCAAAGCTCCCCCGACTCAGGACCTGGCCGACGCAACCACTAAAGCCGGGGGGAGTCGACGGTCCGTGTCGCCGAACAAGATCCGACCGTCAACGTTGAGCCGGCAGGGCGGTGAAGAGCCACAGCCTGTTTACAAGCGGGCGCCGAAGGCCATGCATGAGCGTGAACGGGAGCTGGAAGAATTGATGCAGATAGGCATGAAGATGGACGAGGATCGAACGGTTGGTGGTCAACGTGATGAGGTACCAAAGGATCCTGCCCCCGCCGTAAACGTGAGGCCGGCCAAGCCGCCCCCTTCCGGGGCTCGGCGAGTCCAGAGCGGCAAGCAGCGTTAGCGGCATGAAGCCCCCGCCTCCAGAGCCCAAGAGGTTACCGGTCCAGCACGTCCCGCCACCGCAGCCTCAAGTCGTTAACCGCGCGAATGATCAGCTTGCGGGATACTCCAGGACCGTCGCCAAGGCGGTGTACCGCCCGCTGTACCACGTCAACGGTCGCATGCCCATGCTGAACGACAGGAGCGACGACTACGACGTTAACTATCGGGCGGAACCTGACCCCAGGGAAGTGGTAGCCTTAACGATGAAGACACGTGACAACTGGCGCAGGTTTGAGGGTAACTTCGTCGGGCACGTGGCGACGGCAGGGTTAAGGACCCCTGGCGGCAGGTCTATTCAGGGCAACACAGGGCGGGAGCTTAACGATTGCGATGACGTGTTCGTTGACATCTTTGGCCAACATGCTTACGGTTTCATCGGCTATGCCGTGTTGAAAGGTCCGAGCAGCTGGAGATCTCAATTAACGGAGAAAGAGTTGACCAAGCATGATGAATGGGTTGACGCGGTTGGGCACGTACAGTCCCTATTTGACGATGAGTACGTGCCACCACTCCACGTTGACGAGCTTCACCCATCGTGGTTTGAGCTCCACAGTTGCCCGGACACGCAGGTGTACGTCAACAAGGTGCCGGAGATGAACGAGAAGCAGCTTAATGGTCTCCTCTTAACGTGGGCAGGAATGCTGCCCCACGGCAACCCCACCGTGATCTCCGTTAAGCACCTGGTGGAGGACGCCCGTGGGCCGCACGGTTGCATCTCGACTGGAGTTACCGTGATTCGCTTTGCGACGCCCGATCTCGCCAAGCTTTACTGCCGTTACATGAACGGGCTCCAGGTGCATTACCGTAACTACTTCATCGACGACCTCGAGGTCAGGAGCACCGAGGAGTTAAAGGGCAGTATCAACAAGCCTCCAGTCTACTGGCACCAGACCATCTTGGACGTTGCCCTTAACGATCAGGGATCCATGAGGGCACTTTACCGTGATAATTGGCCTGCCGATCATGTCACCGAGCGTAAAAGCGATCACCGTGAGAAGCTTTGCTGGTTTGGCTGGTTACCGTGCGACGACTTCCCCAACTGGCTTACCGATCCGGCCTGGACTGTGAACCCGTTTACCGGCGCTGCGGTCGAAGAGCACCTCCGTAACAATCCAGGCGGTGGGCCTCTACTGGAGGGCCATCGGCACCTGCCACAACATCGTTGACGGCTCCATTAAGAGCTACGATGAGGGGTGCTGGCTTGACGACGATGAGCGCATTAACGCGTACCTGGACACCGACTACTACAGCCCGATGCAGGCCCTTAACAGGGTGTCGTCCTACACCGCAGCCAGCGTGGGACATCGCGGGTTACCGAGGTCGAGGGGTTCACGAGCCCCGTCGGCGAGGCGCCCGCGCCGTTCGTGAAAGACGGCAGGCAGTCAGCATGCTGCAGTTTACGCTCTTCCTCATCTCCCCTCTTAACTTGGCTTAACGATCGAGTGGCGGTAGCTTGTTGAGCTGAGTTTGTTTGCGTGCGCATCTCTTGTTGTTACCGCAGGTATTGGCGAATAAAAAGCGAAAGCAATCACAATCATCCAAATGCTAACCTGCTGTGTAAACTTTAGATGCTTCGTTTGAACTTGTGACAGTAAAAGCGTTTACTCGAGCTCAGGTTCCATGTGTGAGAAACTTGGTGCTCGTAAGCGCAGTCACGAGACATTTCGAATTCAGCAATATGATGATTTGCGTGCAACGTTTTGCATAGTTTAACCTGTTTTTGCGTTTGTAGACACCTCCCCGTCAGCCTATGCGGACTAGCGTCCGAGGGGGGTGTTAACATGTAAGCGTTCAGGTGACTGGGGAGGGAAGGTGACCCTGTTACCTTTGGCTCAAGTGTTTAACGGCTGAAGCCACCGAGACTCGCTTCGCCGTGCGGGAGTAAAAAGGTGACCGATCGTCATCGCTGTCACTGGGCTCCCGTGCAGAACCCTCCTCGGGGTTTTGCAGGAGAAGGAGGAGGAGGAGGAGGAGGAGGAGGAGGAGGAGAGGAGGAGAGGAGAGGAGGGAGGAGGAGGAGAGGGGAGGAGGAGGAGGGAGGAGGAGGAGGAAGGAGGAGGCGGAGGAGGAGGAGGAGGAGGGAGGAGGAGGAGGAGGAGGAGGAGGAGGAGGAGGAGGACGAGGACGAGGAGGACGAGGACGAGGAGGACGAGGACGAGGAGGTCGAGTAGGAGGAGGAGAGATGATCGGGCAGGGGAGGGATCAGACGGGAGAGTGGAGATGAGAGAGAGAGAGGGAGAGAGAGAGAGAGAGAGAGAGAGAGAGAGAGAGAGAGAGAGAGAGAGAGAGAGAAAGAGAGAGAGAGAGAGAAAGAGAAGAGAGAGAGAGAGAGAGAGAGAGACAGGATGTGGTAAAAGCCGTTGTGATCGTTGGCTGTTTGGGCTCATGCCTTTATTCTTTCACGTTTTGTATTTACTATGTCATCCTCATTATCATTTCTTTTTCGCCTCCTCGCATCGTTGCCGTGGCGCGGTCCAAGGTGGATATCGAGGAGCCCGACCTCTACATCCCGGCACCACCCCCAGCGTCGTCAGAGGAGGACGAGGAGGGGGGGAGGATAATGGGCGAGGGAGAGGAGGAGGATGAGACGGGACGGGGCGAAAGAGAAAAGGGAGGAGGATGAGGAGGGCGGGGGGGGGGAGGATGGGGAGGAGGAGAAGGAGGTGGAGCATGAGCGCAAAGGCAACGGGGGGAACGCAAAAGAAGGTGTGGGGGGGAGTAGGAGGAGTAGGAGGACGAGCAAGAGGACGAGGAGGAGGGGTGGGAGGATCCATCATCAAAGGCCTGAAGCAATAGGAATGCCATCGAGCAGCCCCCTATCCTTTCGCCACAGAGGGCACTCCCGCCGCTGCAGGACGACCCGCCTTCAACATGAAGGGATCGGCTCGGTTCGGTTCGGTCCGGTTCTGCAGCCGGGTCGGTTTTCTTTGGCCGGTTCGGTTTGGCATCGGTCCGGTTTCGGCCGGTTCGGCTTGGGCCTGCCGCCGGTTCGGTTCGGTTCCGGTTTTCGCGCGGTTGGGTCCGACCGGTTCGGTTCGGTTCGAGTGGCCGCTCCGGTTCGGTTCGGCCCGACTGGTCAGGTGCGACGTTGGGCGCCCCGTCTGCGTAAGCGACGACCCAGTTTGAAAAAAAGGGAGGGAGGATGAGGGGAGGAGGAGGAGGAGGAGGAGGAGGAGGACGAGGAGGAGGACGAGGAGGAGGAGGAGGAGGAGGAGGCGGAGGAGGGAGGAGGAGGACGACGAGGAGGAGAGGAGGAGGAGGAGGACGACGAGGAGGAGGAAGGAGGAGGAGGAGGAGGAACGTGGAGGCGTGGAGGCGCGAGGCCCTCCAGCGACGTGCCCCGAGGGGGGTCGCAGCCCCGAGGGGGGTCGCAGCCCCGAGGGGGGTCGCAGCCCCGAGGGGGGTCGCAGCCCCGAGGGGGGTCGCACCCGCGAGGGGGGTCGCAGCCCCGAGGGGGGTCGCACCCGCGAGGGGGGTCGCAGCCCCGAGGGGGGTCGCACCCGCGAGGGGGGTCGCACCCCCGAGGGGGGTCGCACCGAGGGGGGTCGCACCCGCGAGGGGGGTCGCAGCCCTGAAGGGGGTCCTGGGTCCTGGGGTCCTGGGGTCCCGGGGGTCCTTGGGTCCTTGGGTCCTTGGGTCCTGGGGTCCCGGGGATCTACGGGGGTCCTGGGGTCATGGGGGTCATCGGGGTCGTGGGAATCTTCGGGAGGTTCTGGGGTCATCGGGGTCCAGGAGTCCTGGGGGTCATCGGGGTCCTGGGGTCCGGACCGGGGGGGAAAGGGGTTCGGTTCGGTTCCCGTCGGTTCGGTTCAGGGGCCGCCCGGTTCCGGTTTGGTTCCGGTTCTGGTTCGATTCGGTTCTCGCCATTTCGGTTCTGAATGAATTCGGTTCGGTCCGGTTCGGTTTTCTACGTTCCTGGTTTTGGACCGCCTCGGTCCGGTTCGGTCACGGTTCTCGGTTCTCGGTTCGGTGCGGTCCCTTCATGCTTCAATGGAGCACCAAGCCCCCCTTCTGAAGAAAGTCCACCGGGGGCCCGTGCAAGCCCCAGAGGGGAGGCACGCGCAGGAGCAGCAGCGGGCGGGCCATTCTCTTTTACACCCCCCTTCGGCGCACGATCCCTGCCACTGAACAGCGGAGCAAACGCACGCGCCCGCGACCTCGCGCAGCGGTGCCCATCACCGCCCACGCTCGCATGAAGACGCCGCGCGCTCGCCGCTCCGTGCCTCCCGCACGGAGTCCCTCCCGTCCACAGCGTGGGCATGGGGTGTGAGCGCACGTGGGGCCCAGAGGCCCCCCCACAGGCTTGTGAAGCCAGGTGGCCCACGTGCATCAGCTTCCCCGTGCCCATCCCTGCAGGACGGGGCGGCCCGGGGCGGACGGGACCCCAGCGTGCTACTGCCATGCCGCTGTTGCTGACCGTGCAGCGCCACTTCGAACAGGTCCAAGCTGAGGCGCGCTCGAGGTTTAGGTCTCTGCCGCTTTGCCCGAAGATGTCGATGACGAGGGCGGAAGAGGAGAAGGAGAAGGAGGAGGAGGAGGAGGAGGAGGAGGAGGCGGAGCACCAGTGTAAAACCAAAACCCATCAACGATGTTGAAATTAACCATTCCTCCAAACTCCTTCTTCATACGCCCCTACCAGGGTTCATGTCCACTGAGGGGAGTACCCCGTTGGAAGGCCGCCGTTGGAGGATCGTGAAGCGTGCCAAAATACCATTCTCGGGACCCCAGCGCCACGAATCAACCTGACCGTTGCGTCTTGGCGATCAGGAACCGTGCCAGAGCGCCATTCCTGGGGCTTCAACGCCGCGAATCAAGGCACCTGTGACGCCCTGACAGTCCCGAGTCGCCCCCACACGCAAGTTCTGGTACGTTGACGACCACTGGAGCCCGTGAAACATGCGCATATGCTTAAAACGAATATGCGGGGCGCTGAGGGGAGCGCCACATTTTAAAACGGAGCGCGCTCACTCCGTGAAATTCTAGACGCTTCGCGTATCCCCACCAGCCCGTCCAGAAACGACGCCCAGGCGAGTAGAGGGTCGTCCTGAGGGGCTTTTCGGCGTCTTGGGTGCCTCGGGGGGGCCTCTGTGGGCCGTTCGGGATCCTCTTTGGGGCCTCCTGGGGGCCTCTTGGGGCCTCTTGGGGCCATCTTGGGGCCTTTGGGGGCCTCCTGGGCGCTTCTTGGGGCCATCTTTGCCCCCTCAGAAGGCCAAAATGGGGCCCAAACCATAGTAAAAAGGCCTCTGGGAGCACCTTGGGTGCCTCTGGGGGGGGGGATCTGTCAAAGAAAGCGGAAGCACTAATTAGCGTCGCTCCTGGAAATCCTATAAAATCGCCTCCTGAACCGCTCTTGGAAGGCTCTTGGAGCGCTCTTGAGCGCTCTTTGCGCCGTCTTCGGGCTTTCTTGGGCCCTTCTTGGAGCTATCTTGAGCCATCTTGGAGCTATCTTGACGCCTCGGGTGGGCATCGGAAGCGAAAGCGCGAGAACGCCAAAAACATTGATTTTCCCTAGGGTTTTGAAACATTTTGGCTTCTTGGGGGCATCCGAGGGGAGCTCTAGTGGACACTTAGAGCCGTCTTGGGGCGGTCTTGGAGCGTCTTGGAGCATCTTCGGAACCATCTTGAGGCATCTTGCGCTATCTTGAACCATCTTGGAGGCGATCTTGGGCTCCCTGAGGCCCTCTTGGAGTCGTCTTGGCTCATCTTGGACGCTCCAACGCGTCGCGCCCCCCCCTGTCCAGGTCAGTGGGGAGGGGGTGGGGGGAGGGGTAAGCCCCTCCCCGAAGGGGAAGAAGGAGGGGTGGAAGAAGAAACGCTCTAAACCACCGACGCCCAGAGGGCTGGTGGGATTCTTGTTTTTTTAGACGAGCGTGCGCGGTGCTAAGGCGAGCGCCACCGTTTGAATACCGCCCGCCCTAAATATGAACAAGTCTGGCAATTTTTTGAGACGAGTGTGCGCGGAGCCGAGGCGAGAGCCACATTTTGAAAAGGAACCGCCCTCAATCCGTGCAGTTCTTGTGCACTTGTAAGACGAGTGAGTGTGCGTGGCGCTAAAGCGAGAGCCACATGTTGGAAACCACCCGCCTGCAAATTTTCAGCGCGAATGTGCGCGGGGCTCAGGCGAGAGCCTTTTGTTGGAAGCCACCCGCTCTCCTTCTGTGAACTTGTTGCCAATTTCTCAGCTTCAGGATCGTGACTTGCAAAGAAGTCTCAGGCGAAACGCCCAGCCCGCCCTTCCGACTGGCCTCGGGGTGCGACAGGGAGGAATTGATTATGAGGAAATGGAATGGAGGAGGGTGAATCATCTTTTTGGTTGAAGCCACGCTCGTCTGGAGGTCTGCAGGGGCTTAGGCTGATGGCTGACGGAAGAGGAGGATGAGGAGGACGGACGAAGGCGCAGGGAATGAGGAGTTGGACGACTGGGGGCGCCGAGGTGATGTCGTTCACCACGTACATTCTAGTCTACGGCGTGCAGCGGGGGATCATGAGCGATTTCAAGCCAGAGGCGAGGATTTCCTCCCCCAGCCTCTCCCCCTCCACCGTCCTCCGCCTCCCACTCCCGCTCGCTATCCCCCTCCCCGTCTCCCGACAACATGATGCAGAAGACCTCGTGAACTGGCAGAGTAAACGATGCCGAGTGATGGCCCAACGAGCGTCCGCATGGCGGAATGCTTCCCGTGTAGGCCCCCCCCCTCTTTCGATTAGACGTAAGAGTGACCTTTCGCCAGAGTGACCTTTGGTGCGAGCACAGATGGGCCCCCAGATGGCTGAAAACGAAGCAGGAGCAGCGGCTTGCGCGCCCAGGTTTTGCCCCCCCGCGGCCCCCGAAAAGCCGCGCACCAAAGGTCACTCTTACCCAGGGTCACTCTTGCGTGTAGCCGACTCTTAAGCGCTGGACATATCAGGTTGTGCATTGGCACCTCGGAGTCACCCGCAACCATGGCACCCAGCACAAGCGCTCTTCGATTACTCCGGCGCACTCGGCGACCCGCCGAGTCCCCACCCGACGACTCTGCCGGGCGACGCCACTGCGATGCCAACGACCTCGCCTGGACCGCGTACAGTAGGGGCGTTGACCTAAGGAACCCTAGATATGGAACGAGGCCCCTATTTTCCATAAGTTGAACTTCGATTTCGTATCGAAAACCTAAGGAAAATCCAAGGCCAGCTGCGAAACAATTAAGGAACACGGAGCCCCTCCCCAACGAAAAGGGTTCCTTCTTCAGGGCCCCGATTGTACGCCGCAGATCATCCAGAACAATGGCGCTCGCTTCTGCGCGTCCTCTCCAAGTTCCGAGCGCTACTGCCCCACGCGCCCCGCCCCGAGACGGCCTCGTTATCTTGACCGCACCGCAGATCCTTCTCTCACTCCATCCTTCTCTCTCTCTCTCTCTGTCTCTCTCTCTCTCTCTTTCTCTCTCCCGGCTGTCTCATTCTCTCGCTTCTTCCCTTCTTCCTCGCCCCTTCCCTCCATGCTCCTGTCCCTTCCTCTCTCCCTCGCTCCCTCCGTGTTCCTCTCCTCCTTCCCCTCCTTCCGAGGTTTTGTCCTCGTCGTTCTCCTTTGCGCTCACGCTGCTGGTGCTGGAGGCCGGCTCCTACCTCCCCTGGCGGCGAGCGAGCGCGGCGCTCCGCGGGAGTTCAGTGGCTCTGGTGAGAGGCGGGGTGAGACGGGGGGAGGGGGGGGATGATGAGGATGGGGAGGACGAGGAGGTTGAAGAGGAGGAGGAGAGGGAATGAGAGGTAGGAGGAGCGAGAGGAGCATGGTCATGATGCGGCCGTCGCTGGGGAGAAGAGTGGAGACAATGTTTTTTTTCTGGGTAAACGCATTTATTCTCTCGGGACTCGAACAACTGATTCCCCACATCCTAAGTGGGGTTCTTGTTTTCTCTGAACACCCCGCGCAGGAACAGGAAGCCACCTACATCATCATACAGCTGCTTCTGATTGGTCTGGTCGTTGCAGTGGAGTGTACCGCAACCGCTGCGGCTCCAGTTTAGTTTGAGCGGCTCCATGCAAGATCTCGCCCACGCCCTCGGAGAAGCGGCGCGATGCGGAGCTCGGGCCTTGGGGGCCTCCATGGTGGCGAGGGCGGCTGCGCCGAGCTGCGGGGCGTGCGCGCCCCAGCTCACCTGGCCCTGCCATCCCCCGCGCGGTGCGCCTGCGCGGGCGCGGGCGGCCAGGTGCTTGGGCCGTCGTGCGGCGGCCTGGCGTTGGCCTGCGCCGCAGCTGCTCTGGTGACGGGGTCCGCGTGCGGCCCGCTCGGGGGGCTGCTGCTGGCGCGGCGCCCGGCATCGCCTCCCGCGCCATCCGGGGAACCCGACTTCGAGGAGAAGGCACGAGCCCAAGTGAGGGCCGTTCGTGATCGCAAGTCCGCTGGGCTCCGAATATGGCCCTTCCAATGCAGTGGTGTTTCACAAGATATCGTGTGGGCGGAGCTGTCGTCTGGCACGAGAGGCTGATCGTTCTCCGTGGGCCAGGCGCGTCGCAATGTGTCATCGCGCCCGACGGGGACAGGTACGACGAGACGGCGGTGCCCGACGTGGACGTGGCGGGCATCACCATGCTGTGTGGCCAGGGCGAGCGTCCTCCTGGGCTGCGCGTGTGTGGCTTCAGGGCGCTGCCGGCCGCGGCGGACGTGCGGTCTGGCGTCGCGGAGGCGTCGGCGCTACACGGGCTGCCGAGGCCGCCATCGCCCGCCAGCGTGCCCGCCGCCATCGGCAACGCGGGGGGTCTCCCCGCTGGGCCGGTGCTGCTGCCCGACCCCGCGCCCGCGGCCCTCGGGCCGCCCGGAGCGCCTGCCGCCCCCGTTGGGGCGCCCGCGGCGGCCGCTTGCGCGCCAGGGTTGGTCGCTGGCCTTGCGCCCGCGGGTGGTGGAGGCGCGGTCGCCCTCACTGGCCTGGGGGCGGCGCTTGGCGGTGCCGCGCCCCCTGCCGCACCCGCGGTCGGCCTGCCAGCGCTGCTCGCCCCGCCGCTGCCAGCTGCAGCGGCGCCTGCCGCCCTTGCCGCGCCCGCCGCGGCGCCCGCGGCGCCGCCGCCCGTGGTGGCCGCCGCTGGAGGCGCGCTGGCGCCTGCCGCTGGAGCCGCTGCTGGGGCGCCTGCGGCGAGCGCCGACCTCGGGGTCAACCCGATCACGATCGACATCAAGGGTGGTCGCTGGAGGGAGTTCCGCGACGGCACGAACCTCCACGCGAGCACCAGCTGGAGGGACTGGCCAGTGCGGGGGCCACGCACGGCGGCGTGGGCATGCGCCCACATCCAGCGGCAGGCTGGCTCCCCGTCAGCGTGGCGCACCGAGTGGATGACTGAGTGGCGGATGTTGGAGGACGATCCGATCACCAGGGAACGCGCGCTCCTCTGTCGCATCCTGGAACTGGTGGTGTGCTACGACCAGGTGAACGTGGGCGAGCTAGCGCGCCTGGAGATGACAACGACACGCCTCCAGCTTTGGAGGGGAAGGTCGTGGAACTCGCCTTCCGCCAGGAAGGCAACGACCAGATGGGCAAGGACAAGGGCCAGGTGCTCGACGACAGGGTGGAAAACGACCTGTTCTTGGGCGCGCAGGAGAGCAGAGGCAGCGCGTGTGTCTGCCGGCTTTTGAGCACTTGGATTGCGGATGAGTTGAAGTCCGAGGCCACGGTAGCCAAGGGGCGCAGGAAAGCCTGCGAGGAGCGGGCGTCGCGCCAGTGGCCCTGCGCGCGCCTCAACCCTGGGGCAGGCCCCTCTTGCGAGGCTGCAGGGTATCGCGGGCCTGGAGCTGCTCAGCTTCGCGATGGCGTTCGGCCACCTTGGGCGCCGGCGCGACATCTCTCCACTCCCTCGGCTTGCAGTCGACGTTTCGCGAGAGTTTTGTGTTTCTCGACGGTCTCGTCAGCGTTGTGATCGCGGGGCGGCTTGGAGGCGCTGGGCCAGCGAGTGCATGGGCAGTCTCAACGAGTTGAATGGCCAGCGCTATGATCTTCGCGTGGTGTCGGCGCCCGATGGAGCAGACAACCTGCCTCGGGAGTTCGCCCTCTCGCATATTGCCGAGGCATTTCGATCTTTTCCGTGGCTTGCCGATTTGGCAGTCGGCAGCGCTGCCGCGGAAGCCGTTTTGGAGGAGCTGCTCCGCAGCGCTCCTTGGCACTGTGATGGCGGTGCCACGGTTTGGCCCTGCGCCAAGGGCCTCGCGCCCTGGCCTGCTGCGGGGGCGGTTCCGACACCTTTGGATCAGATCTTCAGTCGGGCCTCCCGTGACAGGCTGGGGTCATGGAGGGCGAGTGCGCTGGTCTCCGAGTCTTTGGCAGTCGCCAGGCGGGGGGGAGGGCGGGGCTGGTCGAGCCCTGCGTCGGTCCTCTTCTTTTGGGCTGCCCCGGCCGCTACGCCGACTTCCTATGTCGGCTCGGGGCGGCGGGCGTGCTGCGGTTAAACCTCGGGGTGGTGTTCGACAGACGTATTGCCGATCTTTCATTCGTCGGGCCGGCTGGCGCGAAGCTGCCGACCAGCGCCGCGTGGGCTAACCTGGAGATCAGCTCCGACGTCGTCGGCCACTAGGCGCCAGCCGGCATCCAGTGCGCCTTCTGCCGCGCGAGGCTTCCAGAAGATTTTGTTCAGGCCTTCGCCCTGCCGTGTGCCGCGAATCGCGTGCTTCGCATAGGTAGCCCTCCACTGAATATCGATGTCGTTCCCGAGATTTTGGTGATGCCAGTGGGGGTGGAACTGGGCGTTGCGTTTATTTCGGGATGCTCTCACCAATATCATGTCGCGGGAGTCGCTTCATCGTGGGCGTGGCGCCTTCCTTGGAGCTGCAGCCCCCGTCGGATTGGGCTGCAGCGGCCCGTGGTCGCAGGCTCGAAGGAGATTTCCGACCGCGAGCTGCTGTCCATCTCAGGAGCGATCGCTCGTCACCGCTTTCCTGTGCATGAGGTGCAGGGCGCTCGCGTTTCCGTGATATTTACCGGTCTCGGGTTCTGCGGAGTTAAATGGAGCCATGAGAGTGCCATGCTCTCGTCTTGTCAGGCTTCGGTCGTGTATTCGATCTGTGCTCGGCCGTGGCAAGATGTCTCCCCGTTCCCTGTCTACGCTTGTTGGCCATATCGCATGGGCGATGCTCAGTCGGAGAGAAGCCCATATCAATGATGTCTGCGACATTCGCTTTTGCTCGTGGGAGGTCTTCGGAGCCGACGAGGTGAGGTTGTGGTAAGGGGTCCTTTTGGCTCCGCTGGGTCCAGTCTACGCTGCCGCTGCGGGCCTTGTCTTGGCGGCCCCGTTGGGCTGGCGCCGTCGCGGCGTCGGACTCTTCGGGATGCGGCGTCGGGGTCTGTCGTCGTCGCCTTCTTCCACGTGTCGTCGCTACCATAGGGCGTTTCGCCGCAAAAGGTGAGGTGCAAGTTCGCCGACGCTATCGCGGCCCGTCGGCATGCTCTAGGGGAACCCCTTCAGGGGTCCGAAGGGCCTCCTCATGTGGATCTTCAGGATCTTGTATTTAGGTGGATCTTGGTGAACCTGAGGGACATGGTGATCTTGGAGGCTTCGCTGATGGCGCCGACTTCGTGAGCTCGCTGGCCGGAAACGCGGAGCCCCGCAGCTTCTCAGAGGTGCCCGACGAGATCTTCGACGGCGTGTCCTGGAAGGTGGCGCGCTCTAGCAGGGTCTACATGCGAGGGGAAACATTTAGGAGTCTGAGGGGGATGCCATGGAGTTCGCGCTTCGCCACCTGCTCAGGACAGGGTCTCTTCAGGGCCATCGTCTCCTCCCTCTCGTGGACAATTTGGCTCTAGCTCTCAGCGCGGGCAAGGGCCGTGGGCGCTCGGCCAACCTCCCCAGGCCCTTGCTGCGCGTCGCCTCGCTGCTGCTAGCGACGGGCTGCCGCGCCTATGCGAGGTGGATCCCGTCGGAGCTCAACCCTCGGATGCCCCCTCGTGCCAAGGCTTCTTCGCGGGGCCGTTTTGGGAAGGCGCTCGCAGTGGCTCGGGCCGCCAGCCTGGCGTCGTCCCAGACTGGCCTGACGGTGTGCGGCCCGAAGCGGAAGCCTCCGCGCGCCTTCGTGCTGGCTCGGCAGAGGCTGCTGCCCTGGGCGCCGCTGTCGGCGCTGCGCGCAGGTCATTTGAGCTTCCTGGAGTCGGCCGCCCTGACGGACGCCGCGGCGAAGCGCTGCGCGGCCCGCGCCCGCGGGCTCGCGAGCTGGCGCCAGTGGTGCGGTCTGTCGTGGAGCACGTCCCAGGAGCTAGACGTGATCTTGACGGCCTTCCTGGTGCACCTGGCCCTAGACGGCTTCGACGCCGCGACGGACCGCGTTGCCGTGGCGGCGGTTCGCCACCTGTCGCCGGCGTTGGGGCCGCCGCGGGCGGCGCTGCCGAGGGCCTGCAAGGCGCTGGGTGGATGGGAGAAGCTGGGGCCGCCGTGCGTGCGGCTGCCGATCCCGCGGCGTGCGCTGATGGCGATCATCGGCGTGGTGCTGTCGGTGGGCCAGATCGCGTTCGCGCTCGAGGGCGCAGCCCTGC